TGTCCCCTGAGCTTGGACACCAGCTTTTGTGATTCACGGAGAGGACTCCCATATTTCTGTGCTGTAGCTTTCTGCAGTCATTCTCCATTTAAATAATATTCAGCTCCTATATTCTTCCAGCCAAATTGTGTAACCTCACATTTTCCCACATTTTATTCCATCTGCCAAGGTTTTGCCCGTTTGCTTAACCTGTTTATAGCTCTCTGCAGATTCCTTGTGTCATCCTCACCACTTGCCTTCCCACCTATTTTTGTATTACCCTCAAAGCTGCCAGAAGTACATTCACTTTACGTATCCAAGTCAGTAATTTATATTGGAAATAATTGCAGCCCCAGCACCGACTTGTGTGGCACACCACAAGTTACAGGTTGCCTACTTATTCCAACTCTGTCATCTAATTGTTAGCTAATTCTCAATCTATGCTAACATGGATTGTTAGCAATCCAACACCATGGGATCCCATTTTATTAAACAGCCAAAAGTGTGGTACTGCAAATACCTTGTAAAAATCCAGATAAATCCATTGTTTCCCATTTATCAATCCAGCTTGCTACCTCCTCAGAGTGTTCTGGTCAGTGTCAGACATGACTTACTCTTCACGAAGTTGTGCTGACTCTGCTTGATCAAAGATTTTATTTCTAAATGCTCTGCTATACCATTCCTTGTAAGAGACTACTATTTTCCCAATAACAGACATCAAGCTAACTGGCTTAAGTAAACTGCTCTTTTTAATCTCCTTTTCTGAAATAAAGGTGTTACATTGGAACACTGCTAATCTCCAGAACTTTTCCAAAATCTAATAATTCCTAGAAATAACAACCAGTGTATCCATATCTCTGTCGTTACTTCCTATAAAATGCATGCCATTACCCCCAAGGGATTTATGCATCTTAAGCCCCATCAGTTTCCCTTGTACTTTTTCTCCAGTAATAGTTATTGTTGAGGTTGGTTGGCTCACCGAGCTGGTTTGTTGTTCTGCAGACGTTTCGTTACTGTGCTTGGTAACATCCTCAGTGCAACCTCTGATGAAGCATCAGTGTGTTTTCCCACCTGGTTTTTAAACTCTGGGGTCCGTTGCAATGGATTGCCTCACTTCCGGGTTTCCTCCGTAGTGGAATGTATATGGGGTTGAGTTCAATGTGTTTACTAATAGCATGCTTCGTGGAGCGCCTTGCTTCCAGGAATTCTCGTGCTTGTCTCTGCCTAGCCTGTCCCAGGATCTTGGTGTTGTCCCAGTCGAAGTCGTGGTTCTCCTTGTTCATGTGGATTGAGATGAGTGAGTATTGGTCGTGTCTTTTTGTAGCCAGTTGGTGTTCATGTACTCGTTATTAGCTTCCTTCCTGTTTGTGCGATGTGGTGTTTCTCGCAGTCTCTGCAGGGGATCTTGTAGATGACATTGGTCCTGTCCACGGCAGGGAG